GGGGCTCAGATCCCGCAAAGACCGTACACCCCAGAAGAGAAAGAACACATCTCTTCTCTTCTTACTGCGTGTTTCGTGATGGAATTCTCCCAACGGGTCTTGATATTGGGACCGCAGAGATYGAGGATGATCTCGCTCGTTTTAGCCTAAGCGAAGAATTTTCCAATCTAAACGTTCAATGGCTAAAAGATCATGCAGTAACRATAGYCTTTTTGAATGAAGCCAACGCGCTATCTAACTCGTTGAAAAAGAAACTCGTTAGGGTGTACAAAAATGCGTGGTATGATGCAGGCCTAGTGGAGGAGAGTGTTAAGCGAGGACGGTATCAAAGTGAGGGAAAGAATCTGGCATCCTTTGTTTCTTCGGAACCATCCATTATTAAATGGATGCTTCAAAAGAAAACAGACCAGACTCGGATCATGGACGGTAAGGAGTACCATATTCAATTTGTCCCATGGATGACGCTGCCAGAGATGCAGACCTTCAAGGAGGTCGGCATGACTTACTTTTGGATTCGATGTCTGAGAGTCCCTTTTCAGCTGATGTCAGCCCTGTACGTGGCCGTGGAACAGTCCAATGGAAAAAGACAACGACGACCCAGAATTAGCTTCAATTAGGCTTGATCTGGATGTCACTTCTCAGTCCCAAGTCAAACCACGGTTGGTGGTCCGGATTCCGGGCCAGGGCAATTACTTCTTCGAAGTAATCTCACAGGCAACTCCCTGGTGTGAACGTTCCAGAATCTTTTATCACTATGATTATGACGATTGTTGCCCGGGATACGTAGAACAAAACCCTTTCGCGGACCATTCACAGAACTCTGCACTCCCTACCCCGCCATTCTCCGGCTTTGTCCCGGAAGGAGAGTCTCCACCTGCCTCGGGGTTCCGCCGATTTTCGGGGCTGAGTGGGATATCCAACTTGCTGAAGATCCCCAGTCAGGACGGACGGAAGACGGGATTCACGGATCCTAGAAAGGGTAGGGGTAACCCGTCCAAATCGAAAGGTACTGGGACTGACAAGACGCAGGGGATAGGGAAGGAGAAACGCAATGATCAAGGGTTGAAAGAAAAGGGTCACAATAAGAAGGAGAAGGACAATCGGGCGAAAGGCTCGAAAGGGGATGAGAAGAGAAGAGGCGAACGAGAAGAGGTTAGCTCGGATCGGTCAGCCACAATGGAGCCTCGTCAGATTCGGAGTCTGCTGGCTTACTCAGACAAACTCAGTTGGAGAGGAGAGCGATCAAGGCATTATCAAAACCTTCGAAGAAATATGTTAAGAAGGTAAAGAACGATGAAGTCTCCTTCTCTGATCATGGGAATCCGGGAGGAGAGGGCACAGGGGTGAAATCGGCAGAAGACTGAATGATGATTGAATTGGATGAAGCAGGAAAGGTTGGCGGCTTGGGAGAAGGGCTCTCCAGGGCCGCTTCGATATCAACCTTAGGGAGAGGAGAGGAGGACACGCCCAGATTTTTAGTGCCTTTGATTTTCGCAAACTCCAACAAAGGAGTCATGGTCCTCGCAGCCCAATGGGCAGATGGTTCGATGGAATTACCGGCGATCACAGCCAATGAGGCATTGACTGAATCCATTATCTTAAGGAAAACCAAATCTCTGATCCCGTCCTGTGTACAATGCCGTCTCACTCAATGCTTGCGAACGGGAGTCCACACCATCACAACAGACAATGGGAAATTGCACCTCCTCTTTGCTTTTCTGAATGCCAAAATGGACAATGCGATCAAAGACAAACTGGAATCGCTAGATTGGGATTGGTTCACTCTGGAAATTCTGGACTCGGAATTAAACGAAGAGTTGGACTACATCTTGTTGAAGGGCTTCACAGCAAAGCTCATAGCCGAATGCTAAAGGATGCGGAAGTCCACAGAGGCATTTTGTTTGAGGATTCCTTCTCTGACATCCTGAAATCTCCTTGGCTAGAGGGAGCTACCTTGTCGTCAGGGAAAGAGGGAACGAGAAGAAGAAAACAAATTGAGATCTCCTCCTCCTCTGGAAGCCGTATCCATGGCAAAGACGGTCTCCCAGGCCCTGTAGGTCCTGATGACGAATAAATCGAATCTGAAAATTGTTTCGTGGAATGTTCGTGGTTTAAATGACTCCCGTACAAAACACAGAACAAGTCGTTTTAAAACATGGATCCACAAAAACCATGCCCACATTATCTGTATTCAAGAGTCGAAATTGGATGAGTCTAGACTTTAGGAAACAGGAAAGTGGTGGTCTGACCCCCAATGTAGCGGACCTCGGGTTGGCCTGTGAGACCAGCCCCTTGGCCTGTTCTCACAGGCCTGTGTTATATTTGGGGTAGGCCAGTCCATGCCGGTACCTCGGTCGGTACCAGCCAGTCCAGTCCAGTTCCGTCAGTCCGCTGGGGTATACCCCAGCCATTGTCTGTTTTCAGTCTCATTCCTCACTTGCACATTTTGGAGTACGTGCGTTGGAGTCTTGCGTGGGGAGCTGCGTTGTGCCATCTTGCTCCCCCTACTTCCTCCATCTCCATCTCTGTCACTAGCTGAGCACCACACCTGGTGGGTCCACTACATTGGTATCGGAGCGGGAACGGTCCCCGCCCCCACCCACCACACCGCACAGCAGCGAAATACGGCAAAACCCGACAGTCGGGTTTTCGACTGTTTTTGAGGCGTTTTCGGGCAAAAAAGCGGGAAAAACAACGAAAAAAGGTGCTGCAGCATGAGAGCTCCAAGGCCAAGGCCATCGCATGCGCGCACGCGCCACGCGGCCCCACTGCCCCGCCCCGCTCCTGGATTTATATTATTAAAATCCGGGATGCAACTGCTGCTGCTGGGGTTTGAACCCAGGCACTTGCTGAGTCATGCACGTGCGTAAGCAGCCTCATAACACACTCGCCACAGTATATCCATGGCTTTGTAGCACGGCACACTCGTGTTGAAGAGGTGCCGTGCTGGCTATTTACCCCCCCCCCCGGCAGCGAGCAGTGCGCAGCAGCGAAGTTGCTATTTACCCCCCCTCCCCCCCTTGGCTGCTGCTGCCTGTGCACGTGGCCATCTCCACGGCCACGTGGCTGAAGACCCCCCTGCTTAGGGGGCTGCTCTACAGTGGAGAGGACCTGCTCACACAGCAGACCCTACATCTACACATCTGCAGAAGTGCTGCTGGGGGCTGATCAAGATCTCAGCCCCCCTCTCTCCTCCAACTGGCTGCTGCAGCAAAGACCAAGACCCT